CCACAACCTCCCTTCAGGAAGTTGTAGAGTGCAGCTACAACTGAAGAAGCCTCCTCTTCTCCAGACTGAGCAATCCCAGCTCCCTCAACTGCTCTTCATAAGACTTGTGCTCCAGACCCCTCACCAGTTTCGTTGCCCTTCTCTGGACACATTCCAGGGCCTCAACGTCTTTTTTGTAGTGAGGGGCCCAAAACTGAACACAGTACTCGAGGTGAGGCCTCACCAGTGCTGAGTAGAGGGGGATGATCACCTCCCTGCTCCTGCTGGCCACACTATTTCTAATGCAGGCCAGGATGCCATTGGCCCTCTTGGCCACCTGGGCACACTGTCAGCTCATGTTCAGCCAAGCATCAACCAACACCCCCAGGTCCCTTTCCTCTTCACAGTCGTCCAGCCACTCATCCCCAAGCCTATAGTGCTGCATGGGGTTGTTGTGGCCAAAGTGCAGGACCCCACACTTGGTCTTTTTGAACCTCATCCCATTCACCTCAGCCCAGCAATCCAACATTTGGGGCATGCTTCCCTTTAAAACCCCTATTCCCATTATTACCCTCTCAAAACAGATTTCTAATGGGTATTCTACCAGAGCAATACAGCTTCAGCAAGAGACAGTTATATTATTAGCTATGTAATTTCAACTTAAGTTTTTCCTTTTTGACTGAAGACAAGCAACTTGCAGGTTTACTTTCTACCTACAAACTTTATTATACAAACTTGTCTTGCAAAATCTCAATAAATATCCAGGCAGCACTCCCCAAAACACTAACCATAATCCAATGCCTTACATTATCATCTTCAGGGCTGTTTTTATTTGTTCACTTCTTTGTTGCTATTGGTTTGAGAGTTTTAAGAGTTGTTTTTGTGTTTTTTTTTGTTTTGTTTTGTTTTCCATTTTCTTTCAGGGTTGTAGATTGATGCGTTGGTTGCTTGGTTTTTGTTGATGTGCTTGTTTCGGTTTCTTTTTGAGAATTTGTCCTGAGATGCTGCAAACATACAGTGCCAAACTAAGGCATGCCATCTTCTCTGTTACCATTTGTAATGCTTGCCTAGGAATAATCAAAGCCTACTTGAAAAAAAAAAAAGAAAGGTTCATGTTTAACAAGAACTGATTCCAGCTTTTACCACACAGCTACAAATCTGATTGCAACATAATCAGGAAACTTGGACACAAACCATGAGAAGTTTGGCCACTAAGTTAAGATAGGAACCTAGGAATTTTACCCTCAGGTTATGTTTCCAGATTAGCTTGATCAAGGAAATCCGAAACAAGCACACTTGGATGCTTCTTTAATACAAGCAATGCTATAATTGGATGATGCTATGAACAGATTTTTCTCATTTTGATATTTAGCACAAATAGAACCTTAAAGTCAAAGCACTAATTGTGGTATTTTCTCTCTTTAGTAGAGTATGTGTTAAGATATAGATTACATAAATTATGGCTATATATCTTCAAGTGCAAACTCTACTGTCAGAAGTCTATAGCACTTTTGAAAGGGGGTAAACACCAAACTGCAATATATTAAACCATTTCTCAAAGTAGTTCCAATACCAGTGTCATACAACAATAACTAATAAACAGCAATCACCACTTAAAATAGTATCTGAGAAAAACCTAAGTGAACTCAGAAGGAATAATGAAATGGAGCGTTTGATTTTACTGAGCTGCCTCAATCAGCCTAGATATTCCTCTAAAAATGAGGTCATTGCTTAATTGCTACTTAAGTCTTCCTTCCCAAAACACAGCTAAATAAATCCTGTCCATCAGTTTTTTATGACTTCCCTTAGTTGGACTATTACTTCTAAACTAAGCCACTCTCACAGGCACTGTTTCAATGAGGATAATGTTTCCAGTGTGCATCTTTGCAGAATTAGGTACTTGTATTACATGGTCTTCCACAAAAGGAATATTTATCTCCATCTGACTGCAAAGCAACAGGTGACTCGCTTCAAAAAGAAACTATTCAGAGCAGATGCACATACAAACATTGTTCTCACTTCCCTTCCCACAAACCATACTCCTAAGATACCAGCTGTTGGCTGCCTCTTCCAGGTTCTGCATCCTGCCCTGTTACCCTAAGCACTGCCTCTACTAGCATTCCAGCCAGTGTTGCTTGCCCCACAAGGGCCAAGTACCTCAGAGTCAGTTTCTCCATCTATCCTTTTCAGAGACAAGACTCCGCAGCCCAAATAACCTCATCTCAACATTAGATAAGACTCCTCAGATTCCTTTATTAAGATCACCTGATAAATGATTGCTTATCTCCATCAAATAACTAAATTAATCTTCATTTACTTTCTACTCTCTGCAGGAGATGAGGAGAATACATAACAAGGCAAACAAACACGAATGAGAAAGCCCAGGGGTCAAGATGAAAACAGGAAGAGCACTTACCCATTGGTTTTGGGGGTCAGTTAATTTATTGCCAATAGATTTAGGTAATGAGTTGCAGCATGTGGTCAGCACACAGCAGTTCATCCCTATCACTCCCCTCTCTCTTTCCCTGCTATGCTGTGGCTCCTCCACAAGTGCAGTCGTTCAGAAAAGTAACAGCCATGACTTTCCAAGGGCTACAGAGACCACCTCCTTCTGACCCCGGTGTTCCCTTCTCTGCTCCTTATTCATTGTTTTCTCCTTCTCTCTCCTCTGGTGTTTTCCACTCTTTCTTAAATGTGCCTGAGGCACTGCCAAGTCCTGCTGAGGGGTTCAGCTGTGCCAGCTGGCTGTGCCATTGGAACCAACCATATTCAGCATCACAGTCCTGGCCTCTCCTCTCAAAGCAGCCCAGCAGCCCCCTCCAGCACCTTGACACAAACTCAAAACAGATGTCTACTAGTAACTGAACTGTAAACAGAGTAGACCAGACACCCTAAATAAGGAGGTCAAACTGTGGCTCTCCTGTATCCATTTACATACCAGCGCCTCACAAAACAGACCGTATGTCCTCATCAGTAAGTACTGCACTAAGCTGCATCAGTTCATTGTCCCACACGAATGTGTGCCCTCTAGCACTGTGCCACGTGCTCAGATCTTCTACCATGAGGCTCCAAATAGACATCTCATGGTCTGCACCTAGATGATCCCTGTGCTCAGTACCACTAATATATCATGACAAGCTGTTTGTATTGCAAGGAGCTGTAAGTGCTCTCTGTTCAACTGCTCATTTTATTCAGATTTTTTTGGTACCTACAAAGCATTATGCTAGTCTGTAACAGAATCCATGTCTGCAGTAGAAGTATAGCTCCTTCAAAGCACAGCCCAGTATATATTGCGACAGCTTAGAAATACAGCCACAAATGAATCCATCTGATGTTCTTTGAAACTCTTCCCCAGAAATAACATTAAAATTCTCCTAGGAAGCAATTTTATGCAATATCTGCCCTCCCCCAAACCTCCCCCTCAACCCCAAAAATTTCTGTAACAGCTGCACAACTGCAATCATTCCCTTCTACTCACTGTTCTTCATGTTTACACCCTCTGAATTCAGACAACATACATCTGATGTTTTTTTCCTAGTCCATTCATATTACCAGACTTCATTCTCTTGAATGCATCCTTTCAGATTCATGGCTTCACTTCTGTACCAGTTGCTGGCATAATCGCATGGTAACTTTAAAGGCATAACTCAATAAAGCTGAGAATAAAAAAAAAAAATAAATACTTCGAGCAGTCAAACTAAGTTTCTTCAAGCTGTTTCACAATGTAACTGATCTGAAGTTAACAGAAAGGATGTTTTCAGAAGCATTTTTTCTTGAAGAACAAATCCACTGATAAATACTCTCAGTTCAGGGAAGTCAGTTATCTTCTCTGTTGACCAGTAAATCTCTATCCAGAACGTCTTCTGATGAGATTCATTATGCAATTCTAGTAACACCAAAAGGAAAAAGCAAGCAAGCCAGAAGGAGAGCACAGCTGTTCTTAACACATTGAGAAAACTGTTGATTCAAAAGGCACTAATTTTATAGTTTACAAAGATGTACCATAACCATCTTTGTTTTGTTTATACTTAACTGTAAGCATAAATTATGTTGAAATATCACTTCTCTTTTACTATATTGTTTATTTCTTTTCTCTTTTCTGTTAAAAAAAATGCCTTTTAAATCACATTTCTCAGGATTACAGTAGCAGCTGGTACTTCTAACATGACTGGAAATTAATCACTAGAAATGCACATATAAAGTTATACAAGTCTTTAAACAAAAATAGACTCCAAGTTCATAGTAGATGCTCCAAGAAATGTCAAAATGCAATTTTAATGAAAAAAGTTAATACAGTCACTTGTGGACATAACTTTTATGAGACAACAAGCAGGTAAGACAAAAACACATACAATGTTTGGAAGCTTTTTAAAAAAGCTATCACCTTTGCTGAAGTATGTTACTAAAATTAGCAGTACAAAAAAGCTTAAAATAAAGTGCTTTTTACGGATCTGTCAAGCCATACGGTTACATCAGCCGGATAAACCGTGTGTCATCTGAGGAAAGCTGTCATAATTGACCTTTCTGAGGCCCTTTTCTTCAGGGCAGGGAACTTAACTACAGACCTGTTTCCAGAAAGACAAACTAAGACAGAAAAGCAAAGGCAATCACAGCTGTAATCGCAGGCAAAAATTGCTGCAGCTGTTTGCCAGCATTATTCAAAGGTAATGCAAAAGGGCACCTTTGTATGACTAAAACAGTAACTGACTTCACTCATTCTGTTTTAGCCAGACATAGCTCTCTGAAATCAGCATTTTATCTAATACGTAAGCTAGATTGAGTAAGAGTGCTCTTAATTCCTGGCTGCCAGGTCAAGCTGGGAATCTTCCTCTACAATTATAATAAATTATGTCATATACAGTAAAAATAATAATAAATAGAAAATTAAATAATGAGTGCATCATAAACCAGCATCAGAATAAATTATCCAAGTATTTGTAAATATTAGGTAAGGGTCAGTTTAGTTACAATTTATTCATGAATAATTTAAATCTTAATTGACAACAAAACATAAGCAGCAATATCAAAGAAACTTAAAGGTCACCATCAAGGGAACACCAAGGTCTATTATAGAAAGTGAAAGATAACAAAAAAGCACCCATATCTCACAGGCTTTAAAGGATCCAGCCTAATCTCATCTGGAGCTGCAAATTATATATTTCAAAGCATCATTTATGGGATCAGATCACAGTATACCATACTAGATCACACTCTTTCTCCATTCCCACGTTCATAAGAATCCTTTGATTTTCCAGTCTCTCATCTTGACCCAGTGATAGCAAGCTTGGTGGGGTTTTTTTGTTTTTGCTTTTTGTTGTTGTTTTGGTTTGTTTGTTTTGGGGGAGAGGGTTGTTGTTGCTTTTCCTTTGTTTTTGTTTAATAATTTATATGGATTTCAATTCTGTAATACCAGCCCTGTTCTTCCACAGTGATTAACTCACTCAGAAGACGGACACAGTTTGTGCAAATCTTCAGATAAGCATCTAGTCAAAAGACAATAATACTCAACTGAAAGTCTTATCTAGAGTCCAACAAGTTCTGGGACTGGCGCTTATATACCTCCAGGAAGTGGCAACAATTCCAACCCATAAGCTATTCGTCAAAGCATGACTAAGAGTAAACACTGAGTTTATATACAGATCACTCTTCTGTAGACCCTTGATTTGTATGACACTTTAAAGTTCCACTTTTTCAGCAGGAATAATGCATTTTACAGGGCAGTACACTGGCATTTAATTTTGTACCCACTAAGTAACCTGTAAAAACAGCACATTAGTTATGCATGCATTGTTAATTTCTAATATGTTTCCTGTTAATAACATTCACACACAAATGCATCTAAATCTCATCACAACCAAATTATTGCTGACTCTCTGTCTCTCTCTGTCTCTGCAAACCGAATTTCATCTCAGTCTACATTTTCTCTGAACTCAGATCTGAAGTCTCTCGGTCCTCAGAGCTACACAGACAGTAGATCATGCAGGCAATGTTAGAGCCATGTGAGCTTCCCAAGCTGTCCAAAGGAAGTGTGCACACTCTCCATAGTGCTTCTCTTCTGGCATTCACCTGAATACAGTCCAGCAGCGTGCCAACATCTGGACAGAATAAACTGGCAAGCAACTGGGTTTTGTTCTACTTAAAGCAAAGAGCAAGGCAAGCCCTAAATTAGCTTAGAAAGAAAAATATTTTCCTTGAAATCACACAGTAACATTTTTCCAAAGTTTTATTCTTCATCCTTATAAAATATATTACATTTTCTGAACTACTATTCCAACATTTCTATAATCAAAATATTTTCCCCCTTTCATTTTCAGCATTCAAATTAGAAAACTATTTTAAATGGCTTGTTCAATGTTTCATAAAGAGAATATTTTATTCCATTCTCAAAGCCTTTGTGATGCTACTGTACGCTTGCAGAATGCACAGGAAGCTCAGAGCTGAACAAAGTGAGGTGCCTTTTCAAATTTCTTTTTGAAGACGGTTGATCACAGAACTTCACTTCAATGTTGCCATCACTGAATGCCTCTCTCCTAGCCTCATCTGAGTCAGTGGGAACTCTCTGAGAATCACTTGCCTTTTGCCGCCTCATAGTAATCCCTGAGTTCCCAACTTGCCTTGTTGGTGATGCATTTTCTTTGACAATGCAGAAGCAAATGGCAGATAGAAAATTTTTCTTAAAGTTCTCATTCATGAAAGCATACACAATAGGGTTGCAAATAGAATTGAAGAATCCCACGATTTGAACGATTGCAAAGATCATTTTGATTGTCACATCGTCATACTGCTTTTCAAAATTACCTGAAAGGAAAAACAAAACATGCTAAAAGCACAGAACAGCACCTACTACTTAACCCATATACATACAGTCCAGCATCAGAAACTTTTGTTTAATGTCAATAAAAGACCTCGGTAGAACTTATTAATATTAGTAATAGGAATTAATCAGCAAGCAAATATCACAGTCTATCTTACCCAACCCATGCATATGCAGTGTATAGAAGTAGTGAAAGACAGACTAGTCCAGAAGAGGAAAACTATCAGCCAAAAAACTCACTTGATAGCCAAGAAGCAGAAAGCTTCCTGTTCCTTAAATACACGCCATGTTTATTGTTCAGCTGGCTTTGCCTTTCACATCCATATCCAAGTAAGTACTACAACATAACACAAATCCCTGTCTTGTCACTAGACCAGAAATGGATTCTTCACTTTATGGAGATCATCTCATGGAGTTAAAATACATCATCTTGATACATCTCACACTTCTTAAATTATTGAAATCATACAGGACTCTGAATTCCTTGATTTCAAATACTTGGCTACCAAACCATGGAATAACAAGTACAAAGGCATATGGCAAGTAAAGCCCTTTTCAGCAGCTGAAATAATCTACAAGATTATTTCAGAGAATCTAGTTCACCATGCATTATGGGTGACCTTATCATGAGACAATCCAGACCATTTTAATAGTTACATCTTTGCATCTTTTATTCGGCCCAAATACAAACATTTTTTCTTTTGGCCAACTGGTTATAGACTGCTGAGTTATCTGCTATCATCTTACCTGCAACACAAGGCAAATAAATGCCTGCTGCATTTGGAAAGTAGAGTACAACAGTTACTGCTCCTACAAATAGCCAACTGCATAGCTCCACATGTTGTCACAGTACTCATGTAGAAGATGGGAGACGAACAATGCAAGACCCAAGTGAATTTAGGCAAACAGCAAAAAGCAAAAGACAAGATGGTGCTTCAGAAACAGCATCTAACCCAGAGCACTGGGAAAGTTCAAATGGATTAGCAGATAAAATGGGGATATTAATCCCTGTTGTCCAAGTATTTACACTTTCAAAACACCTACCTACATCACTAAAACCAGGGCAAGTGCAAGGATAAATATTTCACATTGGTTTCACTCAAACCAGTATGAGAATGTACGCTGATGCAAGTAGAAGTCCTCATTCAAAATTACTTATTCAAGAGATTTTTCTACTTAGAAATAACTTTCACCTTGAGGTGAATGAGAATAGTGTAACAGACAAAATAATCCACAGTGATACGTTCACCACCCCAGTATTCAAGTCTGCCATTTCTGGAATCTTGTTATACCTCATAAACCTCCTTTTCAAAGCTGGATTATCTGCAGCACAAATTCAGAAGAAAAAAAAAATAGCAGTCTTCTCTCTAAGAACTTACACATTCTAAAAGAGCTGTAGAGATTTCAAGTTCCCTTTCACTCTTTCAGCAATAAAGCTTGGTAGAAACATTTTTCTTTTTTTAATTCATAAAGTAGGAAAGACCAGATGTGGCTGACACACAAGTGTATCTAAGATACAAGACAACACTACATCCAATAATACTTCTAATGTATTTAAATTTTCTGTGAGCACTGCAGAACTGTGTACAATCCATATTTTGGAGTAATCCATCTGTTGTTGATCATGCAACTCTTACAAGACAGTGACCCAGGATTTAGAAGCAGAATGTTAACCTTTGCTAGCAGGAGTATATTATAGCTGAGCAGCACTAGCCTTTCATCACCTCTAGTTTCATTATTAAAAAAAAAAAAAAAAAAACCACAACCAACCTAGGAAAGGCTTTATTTTATGACACATTGCAAATACTCACTGTATTCCATCATCATGTGAATAATGTGGAAAGGGGCCCAACAGACTGCAAAGAGAAACACCACTGTCACCATCATAACAATTGCTCGCTTCTTCTTCCTGAAATTGCATCAAGACATTTCATACTGAATCACTATGAATTGATTTGTAGTTTATATATGTTTCATTAAGTTAGATTTGCCAAGATGTTCTGATGGTTGCAGATGCAAATAAAACCCTGGAAAAATTATCAGAAGTACATAATTCCTTTTGAAACAAGAACTGCAGCAGCATATAAATGTAGTAAATAAATAACACCTTTTATTTCTCTGTCAGGAAAGCAAGGCATCTTGTGGCCGCAGCACCCGATTATAAGGGGGCAAAAAAAATTAGTTGACAGAGCTGGCAAAGCAACATTCAGACTTCACTGGTAGGTTAAATGCTGGAATGAGAGCATGAAATGCACTTCCTCAAAACTCAAGGTATTCATTAAATTCTCATTGTTCTCAAAATCACATTTTATTCATATAACTAGATTTATAGATTGCAAGATAGATCTCTCGCTTAAACTGAAAAGTTAACACTTGACTGGTAGCAGTTACAGGATCTTCACTATGTGAAATGCTTGCTAGGCTGGGGAGTAGCCAAAGTTCATCTCAACATAACTCATGTAAGATTGCACCCTCTTCCAGTTTTTACTGATAATGGCTCAATTCCTTAGGTACTTTGTTATATAAATGTCTAATGAATCATTTAGTTCCAAGCTGCTTGCCAGTCTTCTCCTTTCTTAAGGTGATAAACTCCTCAATGAGCAGACCTATTAGAGGTTTCTATCACATCATCAGCTTGCATCAGCTTGATCTGTCAATTAAGGGCAAAGATGTGAAGTAATATAAAAAGGTAGCCCATGTACACTATTAAATAATGAAGTTGTTATAAATGTAAACCAATTTACCTCTCTCGTCAATTGATAATTATCGGGTTTTTATAACTTTTCAGAACTCTGTTCCCCCTCCCCCCCCCCAAGTACCGATCTAATTTATAAAGGGATCATAAAGCAGCATTCATAATTTTAAAATTATATAAAGAATTCTCCACAGACCATATGGAAATAACATAGAAGTTATTTTCCAATTCGTGGCCTACTTCTTCCAAACACAAGAATTTCAAACACTACATCATGTGTAGTATCAGATTTATTGAGACTTGACATTCACAGTATGGCACTTCTGCATTTTGACAAAAAATGTTTAAGTTGCCTTCTTTTCAGTATCTTGTTTAAGTAACTATCTAGCATTAGAAATCTGGGCTATGCCTGCAGACTTTCCTAAGAAATATTTCTCTGCACTGGTTCTCAAAATACAACAGAAAAAATAGCTTTCTAAAAGTCAAAGTTTCAAGTGCATTTCACTTTACAAACCTCGATATTTTAGACATTTCACTCCCATGAATGGTTTGAAGAACTGAAGCATCTCCCACTCGTTTCTTAATCCAGAGTTCATAACCAATTTTAGTGTACAAGAAAAGCATCAATATCAATGGAAAAAGAAAGAGTATAACAAGTATAAAAGTGGTATATATCTTCTGATAAGTTGGACTGGCCCATTCTTCCAAGCAACAGATGTGCACTTTTTCATACAGGAAGTCATATTTAACCTGTAACAAGTGTAAAGAGATGAGTCACTACAATAATAATAATCCCAAACATAAAAACAAAGCACATTCATATTATTGCATTGTATATTGAATATATAATATTCAAATATTCCTTGCTCTTATTACAGCAACTGGAATTCATCAGAGAATTTTTCTGAAGTGAGAAAATTCTTCCAAGCACTTTTTCACACCAAGTGTTGTGTTGAACCAAGTTGGCAAAGAGAGGTCAGGAGATGCTGATTTGCACTCCTCCTCAAAGCTTTTTTATGTCACGATTTTCAAAAGAAATCTTTGCTATGTATTTTTCAAGTAGAGACAAGTATCTAGACATTTCACATATTGTTCCATTTTAAAAAATAACAACAAAATGAATTGGTAAACATTCAGACTCACAAGTAGCAGATTCTGATAAGCCACTTTTTTCCCTAAAAAAAAGTACAGTATCATCTTAAACTATGATGGGCGGGTTTCACATGGGTGAATGTGAATTACATTTTCATCTAGACACAATTCTTCAAAATCTTGGAGAAGACTATGCCATTCTGAAATACAAACTTAAGCCCTACAACTGCTGCGTCTGTGTCCCCTAAAAAAAAAAAAAAAAAAAAAAAAGCTACTGGGCAAATCTCAAATGCAAATAATGCTTTTTGATAGAAACAGGAACATGACTAGTCCCTACTGGCAGTCTTTCTTGCAGCACATGCAAGACTTAATTATTCCTCTTTCTCATGCAGGCACACAGAAAAAAAGCTCCAATTTTTGTTATTTCCCTCTTATGTTTCTCAGGAGCTTAGTCAATTTCATAGTTAGATGTGCAAAAAGATCCAGGAATTACTGAGTTGAAAACATGAATTGCCATTTCACCTAACGTACCTCAAGCCGTTGCACATGCCACATAGGTGACCCAACAATAACAGCCAGCAACCAGACTATGCCTGTAAACAAATACATCTTTTAACAAGAAGCGTAAGTTTTGGAATTAATAGTTCTACAGCTTCATCTTTAAAAGTCAAAGTAGACTATTAAATAGCAGTTTTCAATATACGATATATAACAGTCAACAATCAGATGTGTAACAGCATGACCTTTCATTACCAGTTCAATTTTTCTCAAAAATGTCTTAATTTATCAGTATCCACATACAAACTAAAATTGATTTGTATGAGCAGTGTTATCTGTATTCTCTTAATATTAAAACAGAAGGATTATTTACTCCTATGACAATCCTTTAGCAGCGCTTGCACATTTTGAACCTCTTCTCACAAAAAAAAAAAAAAAAAAAAAAAAGGCTGCCAGATGTTTTAGAGTCTCAGTCAAGTAAATATTTTACTTCACATTCTAGATTTATTGCCAGGGTTTTGGCAAGTAGTTACTCTATGCATAGGCACTTTCCCTGACTTATAAACATAAATATCATCTCTATCTCAGAATCACTTGCCTTATCAATGCATTCTGCTCATCATGCCATCTGCACCAACTACATGCACGCTATGCACAGTTACTGGAAACACCTAAGATCTTACCAAGCATTGTGAAAGCTCTTTTATTGGTGTACTGCCATTTCATTTTTAGTGGATGCACAATTCCCTGGTGTCTTTCCACAGCGATGCAGGTCATTGTAAGAATCTCAGTTACAATGGCAGTGGATTGAACAAATGGTACCATCTTGCAAGCGAAGGCACCTATAATAGTCAGAAGGTAAAACATGCAACTGTTGCAGATCATGGTAAAATAATAGTTTACAGTAGTCTTGTCACTAAAGTACTATCAAGCAAAACAACTCATCAAGTGCAGTTTTCAATAGTCATAGTGTTGTGTGCTACACCTGTGAAAACAAGCATTCTAAGGATATTTTAATGCCTATTGTTCCCACTCTGCACTGGTGCAGCCTCACCTTGAGCACTATGTGTCCTTTTGGATGTAACGACAGTAGGACATAACCTAGGGATTAACCTAAGGAGGGCTACAAAGATGGGGAAGGATTTGGAGGGCAAGACATTTGAAGAGCGGCTGAGGTTCCTTGGTTTGTTCAGCTCAGACAAGAGGGCAGTGAGACTGAGGGGCAGCCTCATGGCAGTCTAGAGCTCCTCAAGAAGGGAACAGAGGGACAGGTGCTGATCTCTGCTCTCCGGTGACAGTACCCAAAGGAATGGCATGCAGCTGCATCAGGGGAGGGTCAGGCTGGGTGTTAGGAAAAGGTTCTTTGCCAGAGGGTGACTGCACACTGGAGCAGGCTGCCCAGGGCAGTAGTCACAGCCCCAATTCTGCCAGGGTTCAAAAAGCATTTGGGCAATGCTCTCAGATATAACATTTGAACTCTGAGTGGCTTTGACTGGTCCTTGGAGTTGGACTTGTTGAACTCTGTGGGTCCCTACCAACTCAGGATATTCTACAATTCTGCGTTCACCTGCACTACATCAGCTCTCCTATTCTGCTTTATATACACATACACACACATACACATATACATATATGAAGCGAAGGCTAGTTTCAAGCTAGCTGGAGGAAATCCTAGCGTGCTCAGCAGGAAATGCACTATGTTCTAGGCTGCCTGTTTGTTACTCATAATAGTTTCTGATTTAAGTACGTTGCCAAGGTGCTGGCAAGAGCAAAATAAGTGCAAAGAATGACCTTTATACATGTGGGACTTTCTTACACAAATTTGACATCTTATCAGTTTCTTACTAGACCCAGAACAATACAGGATGCACTACACATACAATCACCAGACCTAGTCTGTAAAATTCAGAGCCCTTCAACCAGAGTGCATTAAAACTTCCACACTGGGATGAGGAAAAGAAAGCTCATGTCACATCTTCACACATGTTAAATGCTAAATATAACCAAATAAGAAGTTACAGCTTACAATCCCTGATTTCTTCTAAAACTCATCCTGCTGTCATGAGTAAAACAGAGCTAAAAGGATCTTCAGTCAGATCCAAATCCCTTGAATCAAAATGAAGTTTTTCATTGTTGGTTGGTTTCAACAGCTTTCACTATTTAGTTTTCTTTCCCCCTCAATAACAAAGTTAAGGTAGAAGACACTCTTTAAAAAAAGAAGGAAAGAAAAATGTTTAAGCTCCTCTTTCACAAGATAAGCCCAAGTTTGCATGTTAGAATTGTGGGGAAAAACAAAAACAAAACAAAACAAAAACACACAACAACAAACAATTTATATGCTTTTCCTCATGCTCTGAAAAAAGTCAAATAGCAAAGATCACTTGAACCATACTCCACTGTATTGGCTTTACTGTCATATACCACCCTTTCACCAAAGTCCCAGAACACCAAAATATTCTTAGGAAGCAAAGAGGCATCAGTGTATTACTTTATGGTAACAAGGTGAAACAGTGACATTCACTAAAGTTATGAGACATAAAATTTTCAGCTCGTGTCTATTCATAGAGGAAACAGAAAACCCGAGTTCAATGAGTGGCAACTTCCATATTGAGGGTAAAAAAAGAATTTCACTAAAATCAGATTTTCCTTGCCTTTACTGATACATTCTCATTTTCTTCCCACTGACTAACTGGGAAAGAATGCAGGCTATCATTACACCTTCAGTTGAAAGTCCAAGATTTAAAAAAAAAAAAAAAAAAAAAAAAAAAAAAAAAAAAAAAAAAGCAGAATTTTCTGATTTCTTGTCTCTGAAGACAAATTCACAGGAACAGATGAACTAAACTAATGTAACTAAATCTTAAAAAGTAGTAAAAATATACTTATCATGGCAGATAAACAGCTGAAATAGAAACACTTGCTCAGCCACATGGGACACATTTCAAGTCCTTGATGGATTCAGTCTTTGCAACCAAAGCAAAACAGCAGCCATATGCACCTCAGTAACAAAAAAATAAACAAACAAACAAACAAACACCCACAGTTTTCCAATGCACAGTAGTTAAAAACTACTAGAAAAGCCTCTGCATATCAACAGTGAAAATAGAACAGTGTATCAACTCCAAGGCTTCTCATACCATTAAGGCAAGGGTCTCTAAACACCAACTTGCACTAACACTACCATATCATTTTAGGGCTCTTCTGCATGCCTTGAATTGTTGCTTGCTATACAAAAGCTTCCTACCTTCAGAAGCTATTAGATACTCCAGTGTTTCACATACAAAACTTCACCAGATTTAAGTAACAGTAACAAGAAAATCCTTTCTAGTTTGCAGAAGCATTTGAAATTGTTCAACAGAAAGAAAAGGAAAAAAAGCACTTTGAATGTCACAACCAGCATTAGTGTCATCAACTTCAATGGAAATCTGATGTCAGAACTGAGATCCAGCTCCAGTGTCCTTGATCATGTTTGAATTGGATTCAATCCTTTGTTAGATAACCTATTCCGTCAAATTTAATGTCCCCAGTGTGTTTTCACATAAAGCCTGTTCTTATTTTTCTAAACTTCCATTATATTATTTACAAATAGATATAAGACATTCCAAATTGCTTGATGATAGATGAAGATTTCATGCAAGTCTTTTAATACATCAAATTATATAGCTTATGTTTTCATGTTATAGACAATAACAGCTTTCGTATGCAAGAAAAATGACGATTATTCACTTTTAAATAAGGTAATTATTTCAGAACAGCGGCAGTTGGATTACAATGGGTGGTAATAAATTAAAAAGAGAAAGACAATCTGGAACCATTATTTCAGGGCACTAGATATCTCAGTGCAACACCAGTTACTCCAGGAATATTCCGAAATACAGTATCTACATGGAGATAAACTCTTCAGTAGACCTTTCTAAAATACTGTTTTCAAACCCATAAACCCTAAATTGATCTTTTTTTCTTAACAGAAATTTCGCTGCTGTTGAGTTTCAAGTAAATTACTGAAAGGAGTTTGCACAGCTATTGAAGTCCAGGTGTGATTTAATTCGGGGGAGATTTAGCTGCCTCATATCTCAAGCATTGTATGTAGTCTGGAAATAGGCCGTAGGTCTCAGTCAGTTTTTGATAAGCACAGAAGAGAATCAGAGAATCAGGGAGTAATGCTGGTTGAAAACAAACTCAGTAGGTCTCTACTCTGGCCTCCTGACTCACAGCAGAATTAGGAACAAAGCCAAACCAAATTAGATAAAAACCCAGAAGATTCCGATCTTGAAAACTTCCAAGGCTGAAGACAGCACAACCTTCTCTGGAAGAATCTCTTCCTCTGACTGCAGTCACAGGGAAAAATCTTCCTTATATTCAGATTGCCTTCCTTCTTTAAGCCAAAGGCTGTTTTCATGCAATGTTGTAAGGAGTCTAAATGCATCTTCTCAGTAATGTATTTGAATGTACAGAGAATGGCAGCCAGGTCACTACAAAACTCTCTTCTTCAGGCTGAAGAACTCCTACTCCCTCAACTTCTCCACCCACCCAGGAGAGGTGCTCCCCACACTGACATCTAAATGGCCCTCCGCTGAATTCATATCAGAATAGCTTTCTTATGTTTGTTACACTATATTCAGAAGTGAACATTCTGAACACATTGACTTGATAGGCCAAGACAGGTGAGGTAGATTTTGCAGCATCTAAGTCTCCTCATAATGCAGATGATGCCTCTTACTCCTTATCCTTCATTGACTAACAGATGTAACCACTGAACAATTGAAATGCAAAAAAAAGGTGCCTGGAATCCTTGCTTTCCAACTTCAAGAAGAAAGTCTTATCACAAGGGTCCCAAATACACCCAAGTACAACAGTTTTGGGGACTCTCGGAGATTGTCATTCATTTCACTTGGCACCAAAGGTAACTTCAGTAAGTTTATAAAAAGCTCCATCATTCACCTTATTTCCAAGCTAAGCATCACTGTTATTACTAAATGTTTACCTGAATCATTGAAAACAAAACTCGCTAAGATGTCATTATTTGCCTTTCAAATATGTGAAGTACGAAAAAAGTAGACAACGCAGACAGAATATAAAGTTACAGCAGAATTCTGGAAATAAAGGCCTACTTGACATAGCAACCTCACATCCTCATCCATCTACACAAACTGCTTTGCTTCCCTGTGTATTTATTCTGTTAACTGACCAAAATTGGCTACTTTCTATCAGGTCTTATACTGATAGATCATCTGGTAAACACAGGAAAAGAGAGCAAAGAAGGAAAAAATTTAAAAGAGAAAATCATCTATTTTCTGCTTGTGTGCATCACATCCTTGAATTAAGGAGATTTCTAGCTATTTTCAGAGGACGAGGAAGGCATTTTCCACTTCTTCCTCTGATCCATATTAGAAGCCTGGCTAGACACTCACTTAAACTGGAGCTAATTAAACTGAAGACACTTAAGCCTGACTCCAAAACCTGTGCAAACATTAGCTACCTGAGGTTATTAACACAAAATAAGCCAAGCTAAGGTTCTATAAAGTCAGAACTCAATAAAAAGATTGGCATTGACTACCTCCTGTACACAGCTAGACCTATTTCAGGTTTTAAAAGCACCAGGAACATTAGTAAATTATATTGGATAACATTATATCTGCTCCTATACATCAAATGTTTTGATATGATTCCAGGCACTGAAATAGTTTTCTGCTATAACTGAGAAGCACAAAAAACTTATCCCTATTTATTAGATTCTCAGAGGTTTCTGCTTTTGTTTTGTTCGTTTTGTTTTAACTGTGCCTATACTAAATTTTTCAAAGCAGTTTTCGGTCTTTTGCAAACTGTCAAGAGGCCTTAGTAATCT